TGCAATCATCCCAAAATCCTCATATTAGCTCTGGTTATTTACACAATGATTGCACTACGCACACTTCCTGCCTAATTGACAACCACCACCTGCACATTTTGGAGCAGCTCATTACAAGCCAAAGAGGGCAAAAGGAAAGAGTTAAGTGAGACGAGAAAGCAAAAATGCCTAATAGTGTATGATTAATGCTCAAATTCGAAAATAAATGCTAATTCGAAATTAAGAATTTTGGTAGAGCAAATTGAAAAGTTTAAACAATATATAGACCAAGCTGTTAGAAGCGATCTCATGCTGCTACCGCTTCTTTTGCATATTACTCACTAATATAAGGGACATAATGCTCACAGTCAGGATTCCATTCCCAACTCTGTGACCCTTCTCAGATAGCTGTCAATTAGTATGTTCTACCAATAGATGAGCATTGTTCAAGTTCCCTAATAGCCAACTATCCAAATGACGCAATGACTCGAACATGGATGACATTGTTGTACTACGGTAACTCGACCCCATGTTCTGTTCTGTGTGTGTTCACATTGCACCTGTTGCCAGATTTTCTTATCCGCTTGTTGGGTCACTCATAATGCGCTAATTAAGAAGCAGTTAATGATCTGCTTAACCATGAATAATTGGCGATTATAAAGCATAACAAGGGATTTAGCAGGATAAATCGGATAGATTTCACCGTATTACATACGAATGAACTTGAATAAAACAGAGTTTTCAAAGATAGTTTTGTATTACCTGTGTTTGGACCTTAATACGCGAAAATTCACTATAGTACCAAAATCCATTAGTTAACAAACTATTATTGAACAAACTGTTTTTAAAAAGCTGAAACTAAATAGCCGTATATTTAATACAGTAGTCTGGCATTAGTTATCAACTACCGATACAACCACAATTTGAAAAGTTAACGATATTCTGTATCATGGGTGTAAAAAATTTAATTTTAAATCCAAGACATTCAAATTCCTTTTCTCCATTTCTTCATTTTCTTTTTTTACAGCAGAGAATAATTATTGTAAACCTTTAGCGTAGGTGGGGGATATTGATTGGAATTTCAATATTATTAAAAAAACTTAGTTATAATCCCAATTCACCTTACCAAGAGTTTCAGGTACAATCCATGCTCTATTCGCATCTCACAGACTGCAAGTTATGACGTC